ATGGGAGGCGATAAACGGTATGAAATGTCATTTTCAAAGTTATTCACTTACTAACATGGTTGGATGTACAAAAAACATATATGGATGCTCCGCTAAAGCATATAAAGAGCACCGGCTCCAGAATCGTCGCTAACGACAAGCAACTATTTGCCCTAGCCAAGAAATAACGTGGAAAAAATGGGATGCACTACAAAAGTCAAGGCCTGTGTAACGACATCCCTCCTCCTTCCGGAGGGCACCAGAAGCCAGGAGTGCTGTATTATGCAGCGAAATTTGCTTTCGGAAGAGTTATGCGAAAAATGCACATTATAGAGAATGAACATTGATGAAGTCAACAATGAAGTCAGAAATAGCAATCAGAAACAAAATCAGACAACGATTCTGATAAATGGTTCTGCCTCAGACATTTTGCCCAAAGGCTGATTCTCCTTCATTTCAGTTCGTCTCCTATACTTTCTTTAAAGAAGCCAAAAGTTTAACATTACATTACAAAGTTTAACATTACATTACAAAGCGTTAGAAAAATGCTTCTGAGGCACAACAGCAATGTACGGATATGCGTTGGTAAGATTTTGTGCGAAATATTTTCGAAGTCTCTTGCATAGTTACCGTTGCTTCTAAACAAATCATCAAATTGCTAATAATTCTAGAGAGAAGTAAACTGCATGGTTCCCTGAATGCCGATCTAAGTCTATCTTGTTGAAAACTGCTTCTTACTGATTCTGCGCAAACAGATATCACAAACTGCCACGTGATTTAATTTACTATCATGTGCTGACGTTGACAGAGGAACAGACCTATTATTAAACGCCAGAAATTCATTAAGTATTTAAGCTCTGCATATTAATTAATAAACTACCAGTCACATAATTAGTCAATTCCTCTGCTCAGTATTTAAATATACACGCGAAATCATGCACAAGAGAAGGCAAACGATATCTGCGTGATGTCATTGCGCTATTTCTGTCCATATCTGAACTCACCGTCGTCCCACAAACTTGCTGAACGAATCATCGAGAATTGACGAGATCTGATGACGAAAGAAAGACTTGCTGACGCTTTGAATGGCACTTCGCTTCACCAGGTTCTGTACCAACGTCTCTCGAATCAGGAATAAAAACTCTTGGTCGAGGACGAACGTTTCATGGCCGTCGAGTATATTCGCCAGGTCCTCGTCGATGTAGTGCATTTCATGCTCGATCTTAGCTATGCCGATCTTGCGCTCGCTCTGGGTCTGTAAAAAGAAAACAAACGTTCTCATCGACCAGTAAAGACAGCGACGCATGGCATATATGCCTGATCATACGTCACTGTTTCGTTTAAAATGGCTAGCCTCCTGGTGATTAGCTACTGCACTTTCAGGAGTTGCCCATTCCTGCACTAACGCCGCCTGTTCGCGGCCGCGGTCAGTCTCATCAGCGCTGCCGCGACGGCCACCGCCGAACGAATCCTAAAAATATATACGCGTTACACCTACGGCCTACAAACGTGGTCAGCGCTATGTTAGACCACGCCGGCCATTAGTCATCGAAAGAGCAAGCACAAACGGTAAAGAATGTTAGAAGCTTAACACACCATGACAATCGTCTCAATCTGAATTTCATGTACACACGTCTATCTATGGCTGACGGAGCGTGGTTGGCAATGTTACTCAGCTGTCGTCAGCACTGGACTGCTTTAAGTGCACAAAAACAAAACCCCTGTGTCCTGGGTTTGCAAACTATATGCTAGATTCCAACACTGCCAGTAATCATAACACTGGCTTGCCACTTCACCAGATTTACAAAGCGTCATCACGACGTTCCGCTACTTCCAGCTGCTCAGACGATAGTTATGCAGTCCACAGCTACGCCATTTTATTCCAGTACGTGCGGCGCACGGAGGCAAAACATTTAATTTAAACATTTAATGCACTGGGTCGAGTAAACAAATAAGTTCGTTTAACGGAACGTGTTTTTGTTCAACCCAATACACTGAATCTGCATCGCGTCCACCACGGAGCCGTGATATACTAAAACGGTATCTAAGGCCTAAAAGCAACGGAACGATATGACTACGACGTGTGAATCTGGAGAATTGACAGTTCATTGTTTAAGCATTTGTCATGTTTCCCCCAAGGTCATATTCTATGTTAAGGAAGCAGATTTAAACTCCCGCGTCTAAAAATCTAATACCGCAAAAAATTAGCCATTACTACAAAATTGGACAATTCTGTAGGTCGGCCAGGATCGAATACATCGCCCATACACCAAAAACAGTCACGAAATCTTGAAGTACAGGCCATTACAGTTATACTGATGTTCGAAATGATTCCACCATTAAAAAGTGTTGAAACCAAGGTCTTCAAGTTACGCCTAGATTCGTAAGACGATTCCCTTTCAGTCGCAGACCGACAGAAGTTTTGGACGATTCTGGCTGGACTGCGGTGAAAGAAAACGTAACCCTTCGCCACAACTGGATGATCAGGACCTAGGAAATTCATCATCGCGATCTTCTTCTTTCGTTCACTAACACAATCAAACGTTCTTATAAGTAAATGATGATTTCACCGAGGTGGGCACAGATGAGAGAGAGGGTGATCCGCTGTAATGTGCTCTACCGTTTGCATTACGCCACAATCACCGAATGAAAACTGTTTGTTTGTTGACTAATCGAGTTAAACATCATGGGTCGAATGCTGAACAAGAAAAGTCACCTCTTGCCCACGATTCTATGTATTCCGCGTACGCCATTAACGAACAACGATGGATTGAAAAAATGTGTGCGTGTTTCGCATGGCTCGACGGCGCCAGCCTGATTTCTTTGTGAACTGACAGTGCGGAATGTGGAAGCATCTTAGCATATTTTCATAAAGTGTAGCAGCGCAACTAACATCTCATAATACAGAATTCTGGGTGATGCTGCTTGCCAGCAGTCAGCTAGATGACCATGCGGAAGGTGACATTTGTTTCAACACCAACAAGTACGCACAATAGTTGCTGCGTGGTATTCGGTGGTCGAGGTTCTTAGCCTGCGAACATTACTTCATTGTAATGAATAAACGAGATATACATAATATTGCCTCTGGCTCTCGTTTTCACATACTGTAGATGTTGCTTATAACTCTTGGCCAAATCTAAGTTGAGCCTTACATACGGCGATTGTTGCATATGGGCGCATCATAAGCTACAAATTGAACATAACTGTGATTCTGCTACGCCATTCAAACGGAAAATGGAGAAGACTGACTTCTACGCATAGGGGTTCATGCGTCACCCCTGAAGTACGTCCGTATCGCATAAATACAGTCTCTAAGAACATTCTCAGCGTTCCCATAAAGTTATCATCCACGTAGGTGAATGTGGTTGATCTTGTAGTCGTCAGATCACTGATGTACAGGATGAACAGAAACATTCACTTAAACAAATTTCAGAAAAAACTGTTGGTCAGTCTTCTTGTACAACTAAATGAAGCATGTTACCGTTTTTAACTCAACAGCCACTATCTGTAAAGTTTCTTAGGGTCGCAAAAGTTAAGGTCAACTACGAAAATAACCTGCTCCCAGTAGCAATGATAACCACACACGTATATCTGTCCAATGATCCCTCCAAACGGAAAATTCCTTTTATATATTACAGGTTCAAATATGAGTGTAGAAACAGAGCAAATAAATACTTGTCAGTAACTTAAAACACTCAAACGGTCCGTGTCGTCATGCTCAAAAGTAGTACCAGTGTCCTGTTTGGCATACCGATGCCAGACAGGAAAAGTCCAGAAAGCCCAGAGAGTCTTACAAAACTTACAATTCCTAATCAATCTGATAAGACATCTTTCGTATTTGCGAAGAATTTCTGGTGTAATTGGGCTCAACAGAGTTCAAAATATGAGTCGTAGATATTCTCGATTACGAACGTCTCCGTTTCCCTACTGCGATGGTTTGGAAGTATGATCAGGACGAGAGAAGAGATTCGAAATGAGGTCTCAGGTCGGCATACAGAAGGAATGTCGTAAGGACGGCGACCAAGGAAAGAAGAACAGAGACTGACGGCTCGAGTATATTATACCGAGTATTTGGCATCATGTGGTTGTGGTATTCAAGCTGATGCGTCTGGCTAATCGGCAGGAGATCTGACTCATTAGCACACCCGCTGAAATTGCTTCTGTTGCAACAAGAAAGTAGTCTGCAGTCATTCAAGATGGATGAATGGATGGGACTTCCTAGTCTAAAAATATTAGCCCCGAAGACAGAATTCAAAAGAAGATAAATGCTCAAACTAAACCATAACTCCCCCCGATGTTCACCTCGGCATTCGATGAGCAAGCGATAAGTAGCAAGGTCACGTGAAACTAATAAAGATGATTAAAAAAATAACTAAAAGGCAAAGTGATTAATCGTCAAGCACGTTCGTTCGATGGTTAGTGAGTAAGTGAGCGATTGACACCAGTCATGCAAAAAAGTGACGAACTGCAATCTTCAGGGCTAAGTAAATGTTTGCCCAGCTTACAATGTCAAAGACTGTGGCAAAGCATTCACTTACCACGAAATATCGCCAACCGGTTCGCGGAAGAACAACAAGAAACGACGCGGAACAACACGCAAGAAACACACACAGCCGCTCCGTTCGGCTTTTACCTTAGACCTCGCCTCGGCTGCAGCGACGACGTATTCGTACTGCGACTGAAGATCATTGCGATAACCAGGTCGATCAGCAGTTATGGTCAGCGGTTCATCCTAAAACGGATATGGTTATTCGTTTCAATACGATACAGTTGTATAACATGAACAAAATCAATTTAAGAATCAGGCGATTCAGGTGACCAGCAACGGGGGTCATGACGAATACCAGTCTGACGTAGGAACTACAAGAAGACAAGATGCCATACTCTGCTCCCGACCTACTAATCATACAACCATTGCACTTCACATTTTTCACAGTAAGAAAAAAATTTTGACTTTTGTGCTTGCCTAATAAGTGTTAGTCAGGTTTCATTGTATCTCTCCGTTAAAACTCATAACAGAACTAAATTTGCGGTCCGGTCCACTGTTGACGATGGCCTTCTGAACGGAACATATAAACGAATACCTGTTGCAGTCGGAGCCAAACAAGGCGTTTCTACTTGTTTAAGACAGATTAGAGCGCACTCAACGAATGCCGACCAAAAGACTGAGAGATGCAACTCCTCCTTCATAGAAGAAACGTGAATTGTTGCATTAAAAAAGAAAGTTAAGGAAAATCAACAAAGCAGTTATGAAAAACAATTTCCATCAAGTAATTAAGTAATGCAAAACGAGAAGTACAACAACTCAGACTAATATACGCGAAACCAGAAACGCTACTGTTGAAATAGAATGTTCTCGCTTAGGTCTCTATGGTAAGCTGACGCGGAATCGAATTAAAATGAAAAAGTTTTAACACCGCCAGCGATTAGTCTGACCGTCATGAGGATGCAGTAACGACTGATTACTGATGGATCAATTAATTACTTAATACTTCCGCATCACTACTTAGGGTAAATATCGTATCTTCTAGAGGAAGTTCCAGTGAGAACGAGGTGGGGCTAGTTGCTCTTTAGCCAGTATGGTTTGGAATCTCGAAATAGTCAATCGGCCAAAGAGGCTGTGATGGATCATTAAAAGATCCTGACTTGGTGGTCGCAACCACAAAGGGGTGGGAAGCGGCTGCCATTGTCCAACCCGTCGTCAAATAAGTTGTCCTCCATGGAAATCAATGGCGGCCTATTTCGCAAGCAGGATTCTGTTCACACAGCAGTAACGTGGTTGCTCTATGGTGCTTTGCGCTTTTGTTGCTCCAGGAAGACAGACAGCCCAAGAGGGCAACCGATCAGAGGAAATGAGAACTGTAAGTGCTGCACCAGGATGTCTGTACCTAGATCGCCAATGCAATGAACCGATGAAATTTTTTGAATGGCAAACGGTCGTTTCGGGACACGCACATGATAATGCACTCGTTGGAAATTAAATTTCATAAATATTCCATGGAAAAAAAGCGCTGATTATTACAAAAAATTTAGAACGCATTGACGAATGTGAAACCACTCTGAAAATCGGGCAACAGTTTCGTGAAACTGCATCTCTCAATGATCAATCATCTACATGACAAAGTGAAATTTGTGCAGTAACCCCCTTCCCCCTTCCTACTTAGACGATGAGTCTTAATGGTTCCTGGTTCAGACTTCAGAGGGTAATATTCAGCATTTTTCTACTTCTTCTTATTTCCTCGAGTATCAATGTTCTGGCTGTTGCGTTTAAGGTGAGGGGGAAGGAAAGGTCCAATCAGATGCTTGATTAGTGAATGAAATTTGGTGCACGATGGGTTTATGATAGTTATCTTCGCAAAGTGCACGCATTATGACGAATAAGCGAGAGGCATTCGGGTCGCGACCTTCACTTCTGCCAATGTCTCATCTCGTTATAAAACGATGACCAACATGCTAATAAAAAGAACTCGCCAACAATAATTAAATCCAAACAATAGCCATTTTTGAAAGGCAAAAGTAATTCATTTCATGCTAAACTACATATTGTATAGTTAGGGGTCACGAGAACGATTACTGTTCTTCGTTCGATAAATAGATCTCCGAGTTTCATTTTGCTTTCGAAAGGTTGCATGGAGGTGGAATTATGTGGAATGATCACCTCATTTCCTTTCTCATGCAAGAATTTCGTAACCAGACATAAGATTAACCATGATAAAGTTAAAAACCTTCGTTATAATACGATTTCTGTGCCTCGATGCAGAGAGCGGGTAGCGAAATAAACACTCAGCATTGAAGACAGACGTCCGATGGAGTGCATACCTCCAAATCACTTCTGCCGTGAAAGACTGCCATGAATCTGTCAACCTTTGGGTCTGATATAAGCATCAGGACTTCAAAGGCAAATATGATTATAACAACATTTCTACAACAAACCCAGACGAAAGAATCGCAGGCCGTCGTTCATTTTAAGTCACAGAGAAACCTGGCATCATACCGCCATATACCGTAACGGTGCATAGATTTGTAGAGGTTAAAAGTGTTTAGTAAAACCCAAAAACTTCGGCATAACTCATATACTTTAAGCTTAAAACAGAACAAATTTCAAAAAAATTTTTCCATGTTTATAATATTATTACACTGATTTAAAAAGAAAGCGAGGACTCGTTGGGCCGGAATTCAGTTATAACGTCGAAAAGTTCCAGGATGACACCGCATATCGAATTCCTTAATTCTGCAACATTTCACAGCATGCGAGAGA